ATCTGACATCAAAGTCGTCCTTTATGGGTATGAACTAGTGTCTTTTCATTTTTTGGAATTTCTGGGACAAACAGGAAAAAAATATTTTCCACCTGTATGAGCCTACTGCATTGCATGAACCCTAAATTTTGAAAATCTGAATGGAGGGTTTCGCACTAAATCTGACATCAAAGTCTTCCTTTATGGGTCTGAACTAGTGTCTTTTCATTTTTCGGAATTTCTGGGACAAACAGGAAAAAAATATTTTTCCACCTGTATGAGCCTACTGCATTGCGTGAACCCTAAATTTTGAAAATCTGAATGGAGGGTTTTGCACTAAATCTGACATCAAATTCTTTCTTTATGGGTCTGAAGTAGTGACTTCATTTTTTGGAATTTCTGGGACAAACAGGAAAAAAATATTTTTCTACCTGTATGAGCCTACTGCATTACGTGAACCCTAAATTTTGAAAATCTTGATGGAGGGTTTCGCACTAAATCTGACATCAAATTCTTTCTTTATGGGTCTGAAGTAGTGTTTTTTCATTTTTTGGAATTTTTGGGACAAACAGGAAAAAAATATTTTTCCACCTGTATGAGCCTACTGCATTGCGTGAACCCCAAATTTTGAAAATCTGAATGGAGGGTTTTGCACTAAATCTGACATCAAATTCTTTCTTTATGGGTCTGAACTTGTGTTTTTTTATTCTTTGGAATTTCTGGGACAAACTGGTAAAAAATATTTTTTCACCTGTATGAGCCTACTGCATTGCGTGAACCCCAAATTTTGAAAATCTGAATGGAGGGTTCTGCACTAAATCTGACATCAAATTCTTTCTTTATGGGTCTGAACTTGTGTTTTTTTATTCTTTGGAATTTCTGGGACAAACAGGAAAAAAATATTTTTCCACCTGTATGAGCCTACTACTGCATTGCGTGAACCCTAAATTTTGAAAATCTGAATGGAGATTTTTGCACTAAATCTGACATCAAAGTCGTCCTTTATGGGTATGAACTAGTGTCTTTTCATTTTTTGGAATTTCTGGGACAAACAAGAAAAAAATATTTTTCCACCTGTATGAGCCTACTGCATTGCGTGAACCCTAAATTTTGAAAATCTGAATGGAGGGTTTCGCACTAAATCTGACATCAAAGTCTTCCTTTATGGGTCTGAACTAGTGTCTTTTCATTTTTTGGAATTTCTGGGACAAACAGGAAAAAAATATTTTTCCATCTGTATGAGCCTACTGCATTGCGTGAACCCTAAATTTTGAAAATCTGAATGGAGATTTTTGCACTAAATCTGACATCAAAGTCGTCCTTTATGGGTATGAACTAGTGTCTTTTCATTTTTTGGAATTTCTGGGACAAACAGGAAAAAAATATTTTTCCACCTGTATGAGCCTACTGCATTGCATGAACCCTAAATTTTGAAAATCTGAATAGAGGGTTCTGCACTAAATCTGACATCAAATTCTTTCTTTATGGGTCTGAACAAGTGTCTTCATTTTTTGGAATTTCTGGGACAAACAGGAAAAAAATATTTTTCCACCTGTATGAGCCTACTGCATTGCGTGAACCCTAAATTTTGAAAATCTGAATGGAGGGTTTTGCACTAAATCTGACATCAAAGTCGTCCTTTATGGGTATGAACTAGTGTCTTTTCATTTTTTGGAATTTCTGGGACAAACAGGAAAAAAATATTTTTCCACCTGTATGAGCCTACTGCATTGCGTGAACCCCAAATTTTGAAAATCTGAATGGAGGGTTTTACACTAAATCTGACATCAAATTCTTTCTTTATGGGTCTGAATTAGTGTCTTTGCATTTTTTGGAATTTCTGGGACAAACAGGAAAAAAATATTTTTCCACCTGTATGAGCCTACTGCATTGCGTGAACCCCAAATTTTGAAAATCTGAATGGAGGGTTTTGCACTAAATCTGACATCAAATTCTTTCTTTATGGGTCTGAAGTAGTGTCTTTTCATTTTTTGGAATTTTTGGGACAAACAGGAAAAAAATATTTTTCCACCTGTATGAGCCTACTGCATTGCGTGAACCCCAAATTTTGAAAATCTGAATGGAGGGTTCTGCACTAAATCTGACATCAAATTCTTTCTTTATGGGTCTGAACTTGTGTTTTTTTATTCTTTGGAATTTCTGGGACAAACTGGTAAAAAATATTTTTTCACCTGTATGAGCCTACTGCATTGCGTGAACCCCAAATTTTGAAAATCTGAATGGAGGGTTCTGCACTAAATCTGACATCAAATTCTTTCTTTATGGGTCTGAACTTGTGTTTTTTTATTCTTTGGGATTTCTGGGACAAACTGGTAAAAAATATTTTTTCACCTGTTTGAGCCTACTGCATTGCGTGAACCCCAAATTTTGAAAATCTGAATGGAGGGTTTTGCACTAAATCTGACATCAAATTCTCTCTTCATGGGTCTGAACTAGTGTCTCTTCATTTTTTGGAATTTCTGTGACAAACAGGAAAAAAATATTTTTCCACCTGTATGAGCTGTACTGCATTGCGTGAACCCCAAATTTCGAAAATCTGAATGGAAGGTTCTGCACTAAATCTGACATCAAATTCTTTCTTAATGGTTCTGAACTAGTGTCTTTTCATTTTTTGGAATTTCAGGGACAAACAGGAAAAAAATATTTTTCCACCTGTATGAGCCTACTGCATTGCGTGAACCCTAAATTTTGAAAATCTGAATGGAGGGTTTTGCACTAAATCTGACATCAAATTCTTTCTTTATGGGTCTGAACTAGTGTCTTTTCATTTTTTGGAATTTCTGGGACAAACAGGAAAAAAATATTTTTCCACCTGTATGAGCCTACTGCATTGCGTGAACCCTAAATTTTGAAAATCTGAATGGAGGGTTTTGCACTAAATCTGACATCAAATTCTTTCTTTATGGGTCTGAACTAGTGTCTTTTCATTTTTTTGAATTTCTGGGACAAACAGGAAATAAATATTTTTCCACCTGTATGAGTCTATACTGCATTGCGTGAACCCTAAATTTTGAAAATCTGAATGGAGGGTTTTGCACTAAATCTGACATCAAATTCTTTCTTTATGGGTCTGAACTAGTGTCTTTTCATTTTTTGGAATTTCTGGGACAAACAGGAAAAAAATATTTTTCCACCTGTATGAGTCTATACTGCATTGCGTGAACCCTAAATTTTGAAAATCTGAATGAAGGGTTTTGCACTAAATCTGACATCAAATTCTTCCTTTATGGGTTTGAACTAGTGTCTTTTCATTTTTTGGAATTTCTGGGACAAACAGGAAAAAAATATTTTTCCACCTGTATGAGCCTATTGCATTGCGTGAACCCTACATTTTGAAAATCTGAATGGAGGGTTTTGCACTAAATCTGACATCAAATTCTTTCTTTATGGGTCTGAACTAGTGTCTTTTCATTTTTTGGAATTTCTGGGACAAACAGGAAAAAAATATTTTTCCACCTGTATGAGCCTATACTGCATTGCGTGAACCCTAAATTTTGAAAATCTGAATGAAGGGTTTTGCACTAAATCTGACATCAAATTCTTCCTTTATGGGTTTGAACTAGTGTCTTTTCATTTTTTGGAATTTCTGGGACAAACAGGAAAAAAATATTTTTCCACCTGTATGAGCCTATTGCATTGCGTGAACCCTACATTTTGAAAATCTGAATGGAGGGTTTTGCACTAAATCTGACATCATATTCTTTCTTCATGGGTCTGAACTAGTGTCTTTTCATTTTTTGGAATTTCTGGGACAAACAGGAAAAAAAAATTTTCTACCTGTATGAGCCTACTGCATTGCTTGAACCCTAAATTTTGAAAATCTTAATGGAGGGTTTTGCACTAAATCTGACATCAAATTCTTTCTTTATGGGTCTGACCTAGTGTCTTTTCATTTTTTGGAATCTCTGGGACAAACAAGAAAAACTTATTTTTCGACCTTCATATTGCCTGAACTACTAATTTTTAAAATCTGAAGAAAGAGTTTTCTACTAAATCTGACATCAAATTCTCTCTTGATGGGTCTGAACTAGAGTCACTGGATGGTATTAGGGAAATTCAAAAGACAAAGAGCATAATAATTATATGCCTTATTCTTTTATTCACCTAAACCATTGTATTAAAGAAAATAGATAAGGAAAGAAGTTCAGCTGTGTCCGAACTCTTATCTACTAATACCATCCAGTGACTCTTTTCTGAGCTAGTGTATGTGAATATTTTGAGATTGTCAGGGCAATCAGAAAAAAATACGTTCCCACCTATGTGAGCATGAACCGCAAATTTCCAAAATCTAAATGGAGGGTCTCCACTAAATCTGACATCGTTTTTTCCCTTTGAGTGTGAAATAGTATCAATGATTTGATTTTTTTTTCTGTGAAGGGAAAAAGTTTGGCAGGTTATAAAATGTCACTTTTCATAAATTACTTTTTTCCTGTGGGAAAAATGTGAGTTCTTTTTTCCTGGATATATATCACATATATATATACACTGTTGATGGCTTTTGTTGTGCAATAGTTCCGAAAAATGAGTCAAAAATACCGTCTCCGAGAAAGAACTGTCCTTTTATCTTCCATTCGACTTTTCGACTACGTATATTACTAAACAACCACTAAATTCGCAATTCTTTGAAATCAAATCACAGAATTAGACTGACAGAAGTGACATCAGATATTTGAAAACTTCAACGCAGATGTCCCTACTGTTAAAAACTTGAAATTTCAGACATTATTTAAAATTTCACGTCGATAATTTTCAGATTTCAAAATAGTGTAATATCTTCTCAATATTGATTCGTCCTTTCTTCTGTCACAGAAAAAAATAGTGTATTATACACGGGAAAAATATTAGATTTTAGCTCACGGTTTTTTGTCTCCTTCAGCTACACGTCGGGAGACAACACAACCTGGAGCTAAAATCTTCTACTTTTTTCCCTTGTATAATAAATAACTATTTTTGAGTTTCAGCACACCGAAAAAAATAACTTTTTTATTTATGTGCGTCAGGTAATTCAGTGCAAAGGTCACATGACCAAACCCAAGCTCGACGAGAACAGTAACGACGAGAGCGACGGCAACAGCAATGGCGGCTTGCAGAGCTGCTTCATCGGAGTGGGGCAACCCATTCCGCACCCCTCCAACATCGAGACGCCACTGCACAATCAGGCGTTCTTGACCAAACACGGCATGGACATGAAATTCACCGATGCTGATGACGAATTGTAAGTTGTCATTCATAATGTTCGGAAGATGTTCACTTATGATAAACTGAAACTATGTCCATTCCTCCGAACAACAAACCCCCTGTCGTATGATCGAAGGTTCATTTCAACTTAGAAGACAGCATTGAAAACCATAGGGAAGCATTGCTCTGTGCTTTGATTGGGTAATATTGGATGCAATATTACATCTGCATACTATTATGACGATAAACCTAGAATCTCAAGACTAAGAGATTCTAGGGAAATTTCGTGAATCAATGTCAGCTGATGCAAGACAGACTGTTTCGACTTGCCATAAGTCTCATCAGTTGCACTGGCCAGCTGACAATCGATTCACGAAGGGTACCTCCATATATCAAACAAGTCGAAGCCCTGAGGGGGCAGAAGGACGATCTAGCCTTCATAGCCATCTAGTGGCTTAAGTGCAAGGTGTATAGGTAGATTCAACAATCATACCTTGCGACTAAGTCGTGCATATAGACCCCTACGTCTATATGCTTACAGAAAAGTCATCCATGTCAGATTCTGTAGACTATCGCAACACCTGTAATTCTCAAAGTGGTTTAATGTTCCACTAACAGATGGATAAACCTAGAATCTCAAGACTAAGAGATTCTAGGGAAATTTCGTGAATCGATTGTCAGCTGATGCACGACAGACTGTTTAGACTTGCCATAAGTCTCATCAGTTGCACTGGCCAGCTGACCATCGATTCACGAAGGGTACCTCCATATATCAAACAAGTCGAAGCCCTGAGGGGGCAGAAGGACGATCTAGCTTTCATAGCCATCTAGTGGCTTGAGTGCAAGGTGTATAGGTAGATTCAACAATCATACCTTGCGACTAAGTCGTGCATATAGACCCCTACGTCTATATGCTTACAGAAAAGACATCCATGTCAGATTGCACAAAAAATGCACCAAGAGACGAAGGAATGTGATTTTTCAGGTAAATAGTAATCTCTCATAGTTTTCATTATGAAATTTTGTCATTTCTTATCAAAATTCCTTCTGCCACTTCTGAAATAGAAGCTAATACTGCTAATTGATTGAAAATGTCTACAACACACACGATCATATTTCGACAGCATGACCTCCCGTTTGATTGCATGAATCCAATCTTCTTGCATTATTTTAGAAACTTCACGAGTATTTCTATTAGCTCCTATTGCAGAAGGAATTCCGATGAGAAATCAGGGAAATTACCAAATTTCAAAAATGAAAACTATATGTGAGTGACTATAGTAGGTACTTACTTTTAATTCATAATAATGTACCAACCGAATCTTATGCCAAAATAATTGTGAAAAACTATTTCAATCATTTGTAAATAAATGAAAAAAGTGACGTTGTGTTTCAATGTTTCACCTCGGTCATCTGACAGTTCTTGCACGCAACCCATTACTGCCGTATTTGAATTCTCAACATAACCTATTCATACAGTGTGGGCTTTCAAGAAACCGAGTTGGCAAAAGTCCAAGAGACTTCCACAAAATAGTAAATGAAGTTTTTTTTCCAGGTTACAAGACATCTTGGGCTATGATGCTGATGACTTGGTAGGAAAATCTGTATACGATTACCATCATGCCATGGACAGTGAAGCCATATTGTCAGCATACAAATGTTGTAAGTTATTAACCTACCAAATTCAATGGGAGAAAAAAAAGATCGAGATTTAAATTATTTATTCACTACTCATACAAATAATTCTAGGTTATGTCTGAATATTGAAACAGTTAAATCATTTAATAAATAGCAAATATAATTATTGAAAATAATAGAAAAGCAGTAGTTGTAGTGATCATTGCACTGTTGCATAGTGTATTGTTGATTAGTGTCAAGTTGGAACCTTTATAGTTCAAACTTTTTATGTAAGCTTCTATCTTTTTTTCTGCTGTGTCATCTGATAGCGTTACGTTTTTAGTATAGACGGCCAGTTGCTCTGAAATAATAATAATAATAATTATCCAATTTTTCTAATCAATTTAACAATCAAAATGGTAAATTCGCAGACGTTCGCATTTTTCACCAATTTAATCAATCAAGGCAGTGTGGATTTCTTCTGTTTTTGAACACATGAGAATCCATTTTCCACTTTATTGAAAACATGTATTAAGACGTTTTCAGTATATTTAGAAGACATTCTTATTTTGCAAACTTGATTGTTTTATTTCAATACTCAAGAAAACAATAGTTATGTTTGTATATAGTGCGCGAAATGCTACTTTGGTGATCGAGATCTGATTTTTTTAACGAGGCGTAGCCGAGTTAAAAAAATCGTTTTTCTCAGACCTACCTAGTTCTCGTGTATTTTTTTTTTCAGAACATTCTAGAATAACATCTAGTGGTATTACCCTGATTTATTAACAAACGATGAACTGCAATAAGTCAAAAATAAGCCAACCGTCTAAATTTGTTACCTTTTTCCTTGTCACATTTTCTCACTACAAGAGCCAAATCTTTTTCTGTCCAAGCAATATTGACCACTTCGTCCTCCCATGTTATTATTTTAGTGGAAATATTCAATTTCAAAATGTAAGAGTCCTTGCTGGTGTTGGTTTTAAAATTCATTTGTTCCACTTCACAGTAAGTCACATTCGGGCAAATCATGTCAAAGGACGTGCAATTATCGTTGCCCAAAAAAGATGGCGTCTTTTTGTATTCGTACCAAACCCCTACAATCTGAAAATAAAAACGATCTCAGGAAATCTGTGATATGATGAAGACATCTATCTCAGCACTTCAATACTTCCACCTTTTTCCTTGCACGTTGAACATCTATTTCAAATATAATCTTCGGAATTTCGGATATTCAAAATGAAATGTAATTGTAAAAAGTTCACAAACGATAAGATTTCCACAAAATTCTCAAACACACGAAATGTTTCTCTAACACAGTAGCTTCGTCAGGTGATATACTGGTACAATGAAATAAACTAACATTGGCTTGCTTATACAGGGTGTTTCACAGGTAAAGGGAAATATTTCAATGGTACATAGGGGTCACCAAGGTGGTTCTGAAAATACCATATTTGATAGGTCTTAGAGTATTCATAACGGAGATACAGGGCGATTTATCGATTTTGAATAATTATTCATTCGTCTATATGTATTGACCTACCCAGTATATTTTTCTCAAATTTGGTAAGGAGCTTATACTTGGGACGTCAAATTCATTCACCTATCGGGCGAAGTGAAAATCCAGGTTCTGCTTCAGGAAAAATTTACATTTATTCGAAATATTAAAATAACACACTGTATTTAATAATTAATACAGCACATCAAGATAATTGTGAAGAGGAGGAAAAGCTGAATTGGGTTTGATGCTTTTTGTTTTCCCGCCACCAATTCTCATCGTAACAATCATAAACAGAAAGTTGAAAGTATGTCAATTTGAAGAGTATTGAAATTATGAAACCAGTGTCAATTATTATTATTCGATATTTTAGTCAAAAAATCGCTCGAAAGAACTTACTAAGTCTCACAGCCTTTATAACGGAGATACAGGGTGAATTATCGGTTTTGAATGATTATTCACTCGTCCATGAGTATTAAACTACCCAGTAACATTTTCTCAAATTTGGTATGTAGTTTACTTGGAACGATGGATTCATTAACCCATCAGGCGGAATGGAAATAATACCAAATAATTATAATTCGATAATTCACCCTGTATCTCTGTTATAAAGACTATGAGACCCTTCCTGAAGCTGAACCTGTATTTTCATTCTGTCTGATAGGTCAATGAATCCATCGTCCCAAGTAAACTCAAAACAAAATTTGAGAAAATATTACTGCGATGGGTAGTTTGATACTAATGGACGAGTGAATAATTATTCGAATATGCTATTTTCAGAACCACCTTGGTGACCCCTATGTACCATTGTAATGAAACACCCTGTATATCCTACTTTCCAACCTGAAGGATTAGTTACCTGTGGAAAGGTTCGAAAAACCTTCATTTTCGGAAATTAGTCACAATATCTACATTAAAATACGGTGTACCGGATTCACTTGAAAGGGTTTATAGCAAATACATATCATTACCTACTAAGAAAACAAATTCAACAGTAGTGGACTATTGAGATCTTATGATGATTCGAAATGATTTGAGTTTCATTCCTTTATTTTCTACATGTAGGATTTCGAAATTATCATCAAAACTATGGTTTTCTTCTAAGGCGTAAGTTGAATTTGTTTTCTTCTTGAAAAAATTCATCCTATGTTCATGAATGCGCTAATTCAACATACGACCTGTCTGACCGATATATACCTTAGGACAAGATCCACAGTTGATTTTGTATAGCCCTGATTTTTCGAATTTAGAAGTTTTGTCTTTATTGTTCAGGATCTGATTCGGATCATCAACTGAAAAATTAGCTTCATTGCTACATAAACAGGACTTGGAAGTAGCATATAGAACAAATAACACGTTGGGAAGGTTTATCAAACATAATAAAGACAAAACTTCTAAATTCGAAAAATCAGGGGTATACAAACTCAACTGTGGATCTTGTCCTAAGGTATATATCGGTCAGACAGGTCGTACGTTTAATCAGCGCATTTATGAACATAAGATAATTTTTTTCGAAAAAGAAAGCAAATTCAACATACGCCAACCATATATCAGAAGTAAACCATAGTTTTGATGATAATTTCGAAATTCTACACGTAGAAAATGAAGCAATGAAACTCAATCATTCTGAATCATTAGAAATCAACAAACTCGAAAATTTTGACATTTTACTTAACAATCAATTAGACCTCAATAGTTCACTACTGTTGAATTTGTTTTCTTAGTAGGTAATAATATGAATTTGCTATCAACTCTTTCAAGTTAATCCGGGACACCATTTATCAATTTAGATATTGTGCCTAATTTCCGAAAATGAAGGTTCATCGAACCTGTCCACAGGTAACTAATCCTTCAATTTGGGAAAGTAGGATATATAACAGTTAAGCAAGCCAAGGTTAGTTTAGTTCATCGTTCCAGTATATCACCTGACGAAGCTACTGTTTTAGTGAAACATGTTGTGTCCTTGAGAATTTTGTGGAAATCTTATCGTTTGTGAAGTTTTTACTTTTGCCATGGATTTTCATCAAGTAACGGCTGAATCAATTCAAAATGTGAAATGTAATTCTTAGAAATGGTTTGGTGCCTGGTAGGACACTCCCTGCCAGTCTTATATTACCTCTGTGAGATCCTGTATGGGATTAGTTAGGCCACACGTATTGTTTTGTTCTGCACTATACCCGAGAGAAAAATATAGGCACAAAACTATGACAGTTACTCTCATTTTAATGGCACTGAAATTTGTATCCTCCAAAGTGAGTGTATTTACGTGAGGTCTAGAGAACACTGATAGCTTGCCTGAAAATTCATCATCTGTTATCTGTGCTCCAAGCAATATGTTGCCAATAATGCCATGTACATACATACACTGTGTGATAACTTTTTCCCACTGGGGAACGCAATTTTGAATATTGAAAAACCATTACAAATATCCAGTTGCTGTCTGCACTTAATTTTTTTATTTTCCATACTTTGAATGTACTTAATGTTCCTTGAATGTAGTTTTGATGGATCTTCTAGTTGGACCTACATATACTTTTACTGCAATCGTTAGAACCCATTTAGTGAATTCCTATTTTTCCTTGAGTTGCTTTGTATATTTGGATTGCTTAGTAACTCACCAGATATATAAATGAATTTCAATAAGTTGCTTTTCAGAAACTAATGATGGTAATGTTTTTAAATATTTTCAATCTCCTTTTATGCCTTTCTATGATTTGTAAACACTATAACCTATTAATGTTTATTCACCGACATAATTCCATAGACTGAAAATCGACAGTTATTAGGATCCACACTAATGAAAAGAAGGAATCTACATTACATTGCTTTCCAATTGATTTCTAATTATGAAAAATGAAAATTAGGTGTTTGAAAATTGTCATAAATCTCATCTTGCTCAACCCTGTATCTGGGATTCTACACGCTTTTATTATGAAAGCTTACATCACTTTATTGGATAAAAATCCATGTTTGTGTAAACAGGAATTTCAGAGATAAGTGAAATGAGGGAAAAGGTTCATAATGAACAAAACTCCTGGATTACAACCAGCTGCTGCTTTTTTTATCAAACTTGATAGCAAAATTGATAAACAGAAGCGATTTTCCATATATTGGATAAACATTTCCCTATTTTATGGTTTCAATCATCATGTCAAGTCGAAAACTAAAAGCTGACAGTATATCCACGTTTTCTTCCAAAACCTAATTCAAACTCATATATCTCGAATATGTAATTTGATACTGACAACCTTGTCGAATTCAATGTCAACAAAACTACAGCCTGCATTCTCTTAAAAAAAGACGATTTGAGTATGATATACCTAAAAATGTCTGGTACCGCCATTTTATTTGATTTTTCCTTATGGAGTTCAGAAATATGCCGGTTTTCTCTTAAACTAAGTAAGATACGAATAAATAGCAAGAGACCGAAAGGTATTTTCAGTGGGTTCATCTGAATATTCAAGAAGAACTGATAATTGTGTAAATAAACCATACGAATTTCATTCAAATCGGCTTGAGCGTTTTCAAGATATTGATAAAAAACTATTAACTTAACTTTAACTTGGAAACGCTGCATTTTCGGATCCATGTTCATATTTTCAATATTTTGTTGAGAAAAATCTTTCCTAGGCTTTTGTCATCACAACTCTAACACACCCTGTATTTTGCTGAGTGGCATATAGCCAGGAAAGTAGTTGTTCTCTGTTGAATATTCATAATAATATTATGTGCATATACATATTTTTATTTGACGCAGAATGCAAATTCTCAACTTCAAAAGATTTTGTTTTCAAATTCTTATAGGTTGTTCAATAGATATAAGACAATGTTCGTCGTGGCATATAGCCAGGAAAGTAGTTGTTTTCTGTTGAATAAACCGAGAAAGAATTAAGATGTCCATCACATAGAGAATGCGAATTCTCAAAGTATTTCTTTATAATATGTCGGCGTCAAACAGTGAAATCCGCCATTCCCTGGAATGCGTAGTCATTTAAAGTAATAGTTTCAGGCATTTCCTGTAATGACGAATGGAGAGTTCATTTAGGCCGAGTCATCTTAGGTTGTTTAAAAGCAGTACCGCCAACATATACATATTGATTTATTATGTTCATAATTTTATCTGAGAATATTCCTTCTCAATGAATTATTATAATATTGACACATTCAAATTTGTCTCAAAGTGGTCCGGTATTTTTTCAACAGGAGAAAAACGAACTCAAAGTCGGTCGACCACAATATTTAATATAAAAATAATCAGTGTGACTATAGTTTCGATTCTACGGCCATCTTCAGACACAATTCAAATTATCACTTTCAATTTTTACATTTCTGTGTCTTTCCTTTGATGGTTTGATTGCAATCAGATGAAGCTCATTTGAGTAGATTTCCAATTAATTCCTTTTTCCTGATGTTGAACTTACTTATTGTAATGTTCTTTTGGCTTTTCAGCCGTTACAAATTTTGTTGATTGTGAGGCTGGACTGATCATTAATTATAACGAACCGAAATTTTTATTGTTAAGATGTTTTTCCACATAACAGGTATGTCATCTCTTTCTCAGCTACCATTTTGTTTAACACCTGTACTACTTGTAACTTTCTAGGTACTTTTTAATTGTGTCTGAAGATGGCCGTAGAGCCGAAACTATAGTCACACTGATTATTTTCTTATTAAATATTGTGGTCGACCGACTTTGAGTTCGTTTTTCTCCGGATCGTCTGACCCGAGTGTGTTTTCCGAGATTTTTATTAAAAGCGACACAACTTCGCCACAAAATCCGCGAAGAACATGCCAAGAAACGGAGTGACATTTATATGCAAATAATACTCCTCTGTATACGAGTAAGAATATAGTAATGACAAAAAGCTTTCTACTTCGTATTTCCAGCTCCACATAAACAAGTACACATACGGATTACATTGATCGAACATGAAAGCAATAGTAAACTCTTCGAAAAAAATTCAAAATACACTCGGATGAGATGGATTGAGAAGAGAGAATCTTGATGGCATATCTGAAATAAATCTCAATTACTTCTTTGTTTTCCAATAGATTTGAGTTGAAATTCTATACTGACATGACAAATTAAGAATAATGAGTTAAAGTCTTTTCAGTCAGCGTTCTTCCATCTTTCCGAATCTATCATGTGTCGAATCAGAAAGTTCTAAAATTCCATCAGGAAGACTCTTTCCTGTTGATGATGTGATTTTATATACAGTGTGTCTCGTTATTCGGAACACAATTTAAAAGGTATCGGGCGAAAAACTCTCACTTATTGCAATAACCATATATCTACTGATCTATATATTATACGCATCGCCTATACGATACCCCAACAAAAATGGGACCAAAATAAGGGGTACTTTTTGAATCTATAAGGACGGAAAGTGAAGGATGGAAACTGCTGACGTGAGTATCAGATTTTAAGTTAGGTTAGGTTCATAAATAATTATTTGATCATGATAAAATATTAAAAATCATCAACTGTTGATATACCACAGTATGATACCGTCAACTTCGATTTATTTGGTATAAAGTGGTGACTACATATTTTGAGATTGGGGGAATGATTGAAGCCATTTAAGTTCCTTCGTTCAGGGTTATTTGGGAGTCTTAAAATATAATGTAAATGAGTGTGTATCTTTGTGTAGGTCAATATCTAAGCAAGAAGATTTGAAAATGCAAACTCACTTATGAAAAGAGGAATCCTGTCTATTCTTTTCTCCGCAAATACTGCATTTCGTTCCACTACACGAAGTATATTCCATATAGGACCAAAAATATATAACATACTACCAAACGAACTCAAAGGCAAGCCATACAAAAAACAAGAATAAAATATCATCTTGGATTTCAAAAAGCAAACCAAATATCTAGTTATTAGTTTGACATATATTGCATATATTGTATATATTCAGATTGTATATTATATTAGTCCAGATATAAGTATATAAGACGATTCATTAGCGAATTCACTCATAGGTGAATTATCTGTTGTAAATGTGATTTAATAACGACTGGTGCACACACAAGCTCTTGAAGCTCATTTTGTACCTAAAAATCTATGTAAACCATATGACTGTGCATGGCTATTGAATAAATACTCAAATACACATGGTTAAAAAAGTTCAGTCTATGAAAAATAAACGAAAACACAAAACACCAAAGAATTGTACGACTAAAAACGCAAATATCCGAATTTCAATCACAATCAATTCGTAGCCATATTGGTTCAACAAGTTTTGTATTACTCTTTCCCTACGTCGGCATCAACGCCTATTGGTCGATTTCGTTACCTGTAGAGACAGAAGTTGGTCCCGTTTTGAGGACAGCTATGCTTCATATATTAGTAGTAGATATATGGAAATAACCAACGAGTGCTTGATAATTTCAAAGACTACATCTATACTTGGCCAGTATCTTTCCGAAAGAATTTCTGTGATTTGTTACGTTCAATGGATCATTTCTTTCGTTGAGTCTCAATGTCGTGGAGAATTCTAATCTTCATTTGATTATAAACGGAAAAGCTTCGTGCCTAGAATTTCGTGATACACCGACCTTATCCGCAATTTATATTCCCTCCTAGTACTCCTTTATTCCCGAAATTTACATGATTACCTCGAATAATCGGGGGTGTTCCAATCTGTCGCGTCTTTATTCGCTTACAGATACGTTTCTGGAAATTAATTAGTTCGATTTGAATATGGATCGAACTGTACTCTCTCATAAATATCTTACGAGCTTATCTGTATTATCTGTATCTGTACAAGCAATAGGTCAGTGGACTTAGTTTTTTTATTTCTCAAATACAATCATCACTCAAATACCTTTTACTTTCATTATTTCAAGAATTTTTTTGGTCGATTTTCAAGTGCTAAATCAATAATGCCACGCGGTAATTTTCAAACGGCTAGAAATTTACCGCCAGTGAAAACTGACGCCATGATTCTCAATTGAGTATTGGTAATATTCCTAATTAGCGATAAAAATTCAATTGTCTCAAAATGTTCCCTCATGATTTGTGGCTTATTGCTCATAATAAATTTTTGTAAATAATAATTATATTAATTCATAGTAGAGGACAATTGAATCGGTGAACGTGACAACCGCGGCGCACGACTTGTGGGCGTGGTCTTGTCAGTTCTCAGCATTCAGCACAATGTTGCCAAGTCTCCAACATTTACATTATATTTTGTTATGGAGAATAAGAGATATTTGGACATGCTGCTTGCTTAAAAAAGTCAAGAATGAACTATAACCATCATGGGTTCCTTCTATCATGTTTTATTCAACGACAGAGGACTCCAACAGCTTTTTGATAACCTGATTATAATTGGTGACTTGACAAGCTTGCTTCATGAGTGGAAATGGAAGATTATCTGACCAATAACGAAACAGCATAAACTGATGACACCATTTATTCAGACGTAATGGCGGCCATGAAGGTTCGTTTGAAATGAGTTCTGAAATTCAATAATACATAGACTTATTACGAGAAGTGTTGTGAAAATTAATTTAGATTTCTTGAATGCCATAATTCATTATCGCAGTCCACTCTCCCATTCAAAATAACTAGTGGTCAAAGCAAAATACGATCGACCGAACTCTCCTTTGCTCGTTCTTCAAAAACTCTTCACCAAACAAAACAAGAATCGGCACATTTTCTACTACATTTTCTAACATTTCTCAGCCTTTAATTTCAATATACTCGTTGTAGAGTCGTCGTAAAATCGACTTTCAGCAATCTCGTAAATTGCGTCGTCTGTTTCATGAATTTTCTCCCGACAAAGGGCCATTTTCAGGTCACTGAGAGACCGAGATCTTTTCTAACCACTCGAATTATGAGACCGCCACGTCAGCTTAAATATAAAAATGGAGTCGATGTCCTCAGATTCCATTGATGCAACGAACGGGATGGTATTTTATGTAGCGAGCTTTAAGATACTGAGGAGAAATAAAGGGATTAGTGCAGGAGCAGTCTCAGTGATCATTGCTATTTATCTAGGGAGGTATAAATATTGTAAAGTTTCGGAGCATCGGCTGGGGATAGTCCTGCACGATTCGCTGTTGCGTTCCAATTAACAGTGCTGCTCCTAAAGTGGCGCATGGAGTTAGTAACAAAGCCTACACAGAACACGCAGAAAGATATGATGATGTGGTTGTGAGCATCAGAGAAGAAGTAGGACGGTGTATGTAGGTGGGTGTGGAAAACTACCAGCTAAGCGTGAGAGCGGGCCAGCTGCTTAAGTAGACCTCGGTCTCGGGGGTTAACGATGATAGTTAGCAGGCCTGCCACTGCGCATATGGTAGTGAGTACATTACTAGCCTACAAAACACAGCTGAAAAACTCTGAAAAGAGAGCTGATGGGCGGTGCCTGAAAAGGATGTTAGCCAGCTCTCTTGAGCGAACCACATCAGTCATTGAAAACACTTGGGGTTTGCAAAAAGGTCCCATTGGGGACTAGTTGCTGACGTGGAAACGTCCCCCACCAGTACCAGTACCAGTATCTAGGGAGGTAACCCAAGGCGTGGGACGGTATCGCAGTTCAGGCATTCGATACTTTTCCAAGTATGCTTTTGGCGATGCTTTTGAATTGAGTATAAATATTCTAATTTAACCTCGCAGAACGTTTCATTGTAATGTAATAATCTGTGTTTCTAATATAGCACATCCGGCGCCTGACTTTTGACATTGACATTTGACTGACAGTTTTACAACATATTGCAAGGAGTTTCTAAATCTCTCGATATCGCCTATTTTGTAAAAATAACGAGGCGTGGGAGAATCTTGCTATATTTTCGAAGTTTCAAACCAAATTTACAGGCATCATGACACATTCGAGTTCACATTTTCATTTTCACAATTTCTTGTTCAAATAGAAATGGTACATAATTTTTCAAATAATCTGGACACATCGCAGCATGGTCAGTCCATAATGAAAGCACAATACACTCACTCAACTACCTAATATAATATCAATATCTGCTTAATAAACTAATAATGTTCTTATGAATTATCATTCATAAGAATTTATAATATTTCTATTTGAAATTTGAACAAAATCATGAATATGCCGAAAACTTGACACTCGTGACAGATATGTTGAATCACGATCAACGGATCAAGATCACGATGAAGATGTTTCCGCACAGATTATTTGTTGCGCCCTGGCTCTTTTGCGTCCTGTCTGTAGATGCTTTTATTCAGCTATTATTGAATTCGTGCATCATCAATGGGACTTTTCGGATCCCGAAAGAACGAAAAAACATCCTTGAAAGTCCAGTTCAACTTCATAAGAAGATTCGAAACGCATTTTCAAAATAACCAAGAAATTGTCTATCGTTAACGCCATCTTCTATCATCGGATACGAGAACGCTACTTTCCGAACCCGCATTCAGTTGTTCATATCGATTAGTAGTTGCGTTTTATTTGTTCTATTCCGGTAGCGGTGGTGGGAACAGAATGACGTTTACAAATAAAACAAGAAACTTCATTACCTTGCATGGGAGAATTCCAAATAATTCCAAAATCATGATACAAAAGTTGAGAATCTAGAAAATTAATGAACGAATATTAGAAGCATTGGTTGTGGTGATTAGAGAAAGTTCTCTGAGACCGAGAGAATTAATTTCATCTGGGAATATATGAAACCTGTCCTACCTGAAAGAATCATAAACTTGTGTACTTCACGATGGAGATGTCTTCTACTTTCAAAAAACCTCGTTTTTCGTCAATCTAATATATTAGTTGCGTTTTATTTGTTTCATTCTGGTAGCGTAGGTGGGAACAGAATGGCGTTTACAAATAAAACGAGAAACTTCATAACCTTGCTTGGGAGAAATTGCATAGATCCAAATAATTCCGAAATCATAATACTAGTGTTAAGAATCTAGAAAATGAATCAACTAATATTTGGAGAAGTGATTGTGGTGATTGAAGAAACTTCTCTGAGATCGACAGAGTATATTTCATCTGGTAAAGGACATATGAAACCTGTCTTAGTTGAAAGAGTCATGAACTAGTGAAACTCACGCTGAAAATGTCTTCTGAATGTCTTTTACTTTCAAAAAGGTTCGTTTTTCGTCAATATAATTCGATTTTTAGACACCTGTCAACAGTCATTCCACATTATTCCTTGTAGTGAGACGGAATGAAGAGTAGCAACCGGAATCGGAAAAGTTGCAAATAAAACGACACATAAAAGTGATTCCGGTGGCAGAATCGGATTAATTAACGCTACTAGTCTGACGAAACAATTGAACCATACCAGATAGAAAAAAAAATTATGCCTCCATGTTTCCAAGACCGAAATAAATAAACCATGTAACATGTTTGTTTTCCAGTGTTTTCGAAGGGCCAGTGCGAAACTGCCCGCTATCGCTTTCTGGCCAAGACCGGCGGTTACGTTTGGGTAGTCACCCAAGCCACCTTGATCTACGACAAAGTGCAGAAGCCGCAGAGCGTCGTGTGCGTCAACTACGTCGTCAGGTGAGTCGATTTTTTTTTCCAAGGCAAAATCCAAAAAGTAACGTCGATGTAAATGTAAAAACTTCTCAAACGATAAGATTTCCACATGATTCTTAAACACACAACATGTTTCGCTAACACAGTAGCTTCATCAGGTGATATACTAGTACAAAGAACTGAACCAACTTTGGCTTGCTCAACTTTTATATATCCTACTTTCCCAACTTGAAGGATTAGTTACCTGTGGACAGGTTCGATAAACCTTCATTTTCGGAAATTAGTACAATATCTACATTAAAATACGGTATACCGGATGCGATTTTACTAAATATACTGTACGCTAGCACAAACCACGCCCACCGTAATATCTCATCTTCGAAGTACTTAGGCAAAACTCAGAGACTATTTATCCTTAACGAACTAACCTATCCCTGATTGCAATATTTTTGAGGAAGGAAAACCAGAATATAGTGTAGAAACACATTGATTAATAATATATTTCAAAACTTAAGTTCTTCAACAAAATTGAATAAAATGAGACTGTTTATCCTAAACGCACTAACCTATTTGACTTCAAATATTTTCTGAAAAAGGAGAACCAGAATGAAGTAAAAAAACATTGGTGAAAAAAAAAAGTTGCAAAAAAAAGTTCAAGTTCACAGCGATTCGAACCATGGACCTTCAGACTGAAAGTCGACAGCGCTAACCAGTAGACCATTTGGGTATATGAATTTACTGCGTACAAGAGATTGACAACGAGAGAGTTTCAGTCGAATTCGTGTCAAAATCATAAAAAGTGTATTCTTGCGTTGGAGCACAGTATATTTAGTGCGATGTGCTGACTCCGAGTATATCGGTAATGTTTGGAGATATGACGTATTATGGTGGGCGTGGTTTGTGCTAGCGTGCAGTATATTTAGAAAAATCGCATACCGGATTAACTTGAAAGGGTTGATAGAAAACAAATTCAACAGCGGTGAACTATTGAAGTCTAATTGATCGTTAAGTAAAATGTAAAAATTTTTTAGATTGTTGATTTCTAATGATTCAAAATGATTGAGTTTCATTCCTTTATTTGCTACGTGTAGAATTTCGAAATTATCATCAGAACTATGGTTTTCTTCTAATACAGGGGGTCCCATAATTAGCGTGCAATACTTCACCAGCAGATTCAACGATTAAAAATATGAAAAAAAGCTCCTATAAAAATAGGTCGAACAATGTCTCATAAGCGAGCTGCAGTTCCTTGAAGGTGGTACCGCGAAGTTGGTTTTTATTTATTTATTGCAAATCGGCAAATCTTTTTATGCCTAATAGTATGAGATAATAATAATTTGAAAATTTCATCCAGAAATAGGTCAAACTGTGAATGGTGGGGAAAAAATCACCCCAACTTTTTTTAGTGCGTTTTTTTTGCAACTTTAGCATAAAATTATGAAACTTTGAAGCCTTTTGCGTGAAAAAGTTCCTCTTGTTCAACTTCGATAGGAAGCAACGTTCTCGAGTAAAATCGATTCGAAAACTACCTTCCATGTCATAAAAATTCATAAGGAATTTACAAAAATAAAAAAAATTAGCGTAGGCTATGGGACACGACCACAATGTTTGAGAAAAACAATCGAGGTAGGTGGCAGATACATAAAATAAGTGAGAGAAAGTTTGAAAGTAACTTATTTCATGAATTTTCATGTCATCTGACTTGATTGTCTTTTCCCAAACCATTGTCGTTCTATCTAGTCAGGTAGTTTTTCATTTAGATCGACAATGCCCAAACATACTGGTTGTGCATAGCCTTCCTCAAATTTTGAATTTTTCTGATTTCATATGAATTTTTATGACATGTCGAGTTATTTTCAAATCAATTTCACTCGAGAACGGTGCTTCCTATCGAAGTTGAACAAGAGGAACTTTTTTATGCAAAAGGCATCAAAGTATCATAATTTTATGCTGAAATTGCAAAAACAGCGCACTAAAAAAAGTTGGGGTGATTTTACCCCTTACCCCCTACAGTTTAACCCATTTCTGGGTGGAATTTTCAAATTATTATTATCGCATATCATTAGGCATAAAAAGATTGGCCGATTTGCAGAATTTCATGCTATCAACAGTTTCGAAGATATAAAATAAAAACCATCTTCAGGGTACCACCTTCAAGGGACTGTAGCTATGAGAAATTGTTCGACCTATGTTTATAGGAATTTTTTTTTCATTTTTTCAATCGTTCAATCTGCTGGTGAAGTATTGCGCGCTAATTATGGGACACCCTGTATATGGTTGGCGTATGTTGAATTTGTTTCCTTTTTAAAAAAATTCAACCAATGTTCATGAATGCGCTGATTGAACGTAAGACCTGTCTGACCGATATATACCTTTATACAATTCAGAAACGATATACAGGGTGCTATAGAAACCTCTTGTTCTTGATCAGTTTTCACAAAATATGAAACATGTGTTTTCTGCTGGAAAAAATGATTCAGTGTATCTGGACGTTACTTTTGATTTCGCCGCTTGATCGGATTTTTTCTCTGGGCCTCACGTAATTTGTTTTCGCATATTTTTCACGGATAATAACGTGATATTCGATCCAGATGCCAGAATTGCGTGTCTTCGTCATGACAATAAAAATATGTCGTCTGTCGTTATGGAGTAGAAGTAATCCCAGACGGCAGTTGTCTGCTTTTATTGTCGCTGTAAGGGAAGCAATTTAAAGAATAGCGAACAGCAGAAAATGAAAAGATAATGTGGCTGTTTTAAAAGGGCAAGTTGTAAACTGTGAAAGAGGTGTTTTTAGTCTAAGAACTCTAATACATTACAGGGGTCATTAAACTTCATACAATTTCACTGATGAAAATTTTACGTAGTTATAAGAAATTATATAATCATTTGAGGTAATTTACATATCTACTGTTGACGTTTGTAGACAATAAGCAAATATACTACACCTTTCCCAGTTGTATTTCATTTTGAATGAATTTCAGAAAGCATCTATTTTATTCCATATGATATTTTCTGAAATACAAATAATACTTTCTGAAATTCATTTCATTATTCTGAAATACAATTGACTCTTCCTGAAATTCAATTGACTATACCTGAATTTCAATTGACTATTCTTATAAACAAATTGACACTTTCTGATATACAAAGTGACTATTCTGAAACACAACTGGAAAATATGTGTACATTGTCTCACATTTTCCTGCTTCACCAATAATTAGTGGTTCAGACTGATATTTTGATCTGGATGTCTTGATCCCACCTCTTATAAAATATAGTCATGGAATTCACTATATGATATAAAATAAAAAAAATACTATTGCTATTAGATCATCGTATTATGGGAGGTTCAAACATATCATCTGTGAGATCAGAATTATGTTTTTTCTGGGCGTTATGTATTCCATGGTGAAATTGAAAAAGTTTGAAATATTTACCTGAAACGTGCTTTCATATAATATGCCGACATTTATTTTCCAATCACTTCTTGTTTTGCGCATAATCACTGTGTATATCTGTCCAAAATCGTTTCGAATAATGTCCAAAGTTTTGCAACGCAAATAAGTCTGAAGGAAAAACATAAATTCACATTTGGAGTTGGTTAAAGTTGATAAAGGAAAGTGATAAAGGGTGCCCTAGAACTTTTTTGAATTATCTAGAACGTATCCAACGTTCTAGACCTTGAAAGTAGATTGAAGTTATTGTCTCATTAGATCCTTTTATGAAAATTCATAGTTTATTGGTTTTTCATAAAGAAAGTTTGGGAACTGGTTACTATTCCTTCAAACTTATAAAAGTGAAATATGTTATACAGTGTGAGTGAATTTGCATTACACACCCAAGTGTTATCCATGCTTTTCTCAACTCTATGAAGAAGACCCTTTACTGAAAAAACATAAGAGCAACGTAAAATAATGTAGCATCTGGATCGCCTACGACAGATCGATGAAGGGTTTACAAATAACTGGCCCAAATAATGTCAGTTGGTTTTCGTAGATGGCAGAAATTTCTTGTTTTTGAAAACTGGTGAATGTCTGCATTTATGTTGATTATTTTCTTCACGTGTCAAAATCTGACATTTCGGTGATTTCAACCAATAAGAATGCATGAATGAAACCAATTATTGAATAAACTCTCCACGTTCACCTGTTTACACTGAGCTGTCGGATTTAATCAGGCTTATCTGTGTCTGCCATCTTGTTTATTTTGACCTATCTCGTGTAAGTAACAATGAAATCAATAATCAATCCTCGGAGAAACCAAAAAGTAACATTTTTATTGGTCATTCAACTTATAACACGAATTTACATTTATTTCAAAGATTATATAGGGTGAGTAATGAGGAACTGTACATACTCCTACCACGAATAGAGGTAGGTCCCTGAGGGAAATACCGAATGTCCATCAGAAAGTGTCTTCTACACTTCTTTTCCAATATATAGGGTAGATTATGAGATTCGACAAAAAAATCTTTTGGTCATAACTTTCTAACAGGTTCTTCGGTTCGTCTAATTTTTTTCATTGAATATTCTGCTACTGCTCTCTAATCGACTAACTTATTCAGAATCGGGAAAATCCAGGACCGCTCTTGAGAAATTTTGATAGTTCAGTTTATAGCAAAAAGTTCATCACCTGTCACAGTTTACAAAAACCATATACAGGATGAACTTTTTGATAAAAACTAAACTATATTTTTTTTTTCGAAAACGGTCCTGGAGTATCCCAATTCTGAATAGGTCTAATCTCTAATCGTGGTAGGAGTATGTACAGTTCCTCATGACTCACCCTGTATATACAACGTTCAGAACCATTTGATTGATCATAATAGAAGAACGCAAATCAATTTGACTTGTGAAACTTGCTTCAAGTGAATTGTCTTTTTATCAAGTAGATGAAAAAAATAAACATTTCAAATACAACTCGTTTCTTCTTCCAATCAGATCTCAATTTTCATCACTAAAACGTTTTTATTTATGGCAGAACCATTAAAACAAACCGAATTCGGTTCATTGTCACATTTTTGT